AATCAATGCCACGTAGAATTAAGGCAGTTCTGAAGGCGAAAGGGGGTCAAACACCGTATTAGTATGGTGTTCCTAATAATCCTTTAGGTGAGTGTATGTTTTCCTGTTTTTATCCAAACAAAAAGTATTCAGACCAAATACTGAACATTTTGCTGTTTTTGATTCTTAATTAGAGATTCATCTGGACTCAAAGTATTGGTCAGTTGAGAAGATACAAGTGAAATACACACTTGCCTAATAATTCTGCACACAGTGTACACAGGTAACGAGGGTAAGGCAAGGGACAGGTGTGAGCCAATTACTATCAATCAACCAAACACTAGGCCTGGGAACAACAAAACACAGGTGAGGGTTATAATCATGAATGACTCAAACAGTAGTAAAGGGGTGACCAGCGACACCTGCTGGCCAGGCAGGGGCTGACCCTGACACTAATGAGCCAAAACAATAAGACCACCCCACGTGTAGTGAATAATGTTAACAATCTAGTAAAAACGGTCAAGGTCTGGAATATATTAGATGGTAAGCTAACATTCTAACATTACTTGCATGATCATGATCATAATTATCTGCCATATGTATCACAGTAGCCCTTCTGCTGGTTTGTAACAGGCAGGATAGCCTTCGTTCTCCCCCCGCATCGACGACTCCTGGCCACCCAACACCCTGTCAGCAGTTCATGGTTTTTCCCTCCCTGGACCACTCTGAGTAAGTGTTTCTTCACATGGGGGTGATAATGTTTTGGCTCGTCACTGCATATATGAATTTAAATGAAATCCTCTCTCAGTCAGGCCCCCGTCGCACGGCTGATACCTCCTCCATAACGCCACCGCCCGTCTGTTTACACGGCGACCAGTAGACTCAGGAGCCAAATTGCCGGAGGTGCGGCTGCGGTCACCGTATATCTCGATAACGCAGCTTTCTGCCTCCTCACCCGTGAAGCGTTTCGGTGGCTGGTCTCTTTTCTCGCTTAGTTGAACGCTAATTTTCATATTAGGCCTGCTATTTAAACTAAGTGATCCTGTCGCCCAGTAAGGTATGAGCAGAGACATGGTCCTCTATGCAGGAGGGCAGTCAGTATTCCCAGGTAGTAGGAGAGCTGCCAGCCAGGGGCACCATGAATGGGGGTGGGGGGTTAGAACAATTCCAAGACAGGGGACCCAAAAAATTTGGAACATAATTGGATTAGCCTGGGATAGGGGCCCAGTATGATACACTTTTGTTGGGTCTAAAATATCTAGCAGTGCCCTTGTAGCCAGAGGCTTACTGGCTATGTTAATCTCCTCGTTCCCACAATCCTCCATTACTTGTAATTTCTTTGAGATTCCTAATGCCTTACTCTGCAGCCTAACAGGGAGAATAACATGAGTGGGGGGTCACCCTCCTTTTCATGCTCTGTTATGTCCATGAATGTCTCCAAGTTCATACATGTGGATGCAGAGTTGAAAAATGCACCTGCTTTAAACAAGCAATGTGCTTATTTTATGTGATGTTTTGTAATGTGAGAGTGTGATGTGTCTATAAGTCAAGGCCAATATTTATGTAGTGTACTTCTAGTCACAGCCGATATGTATGGACTCCTTTAGATAATGTGCCACGTCTAGGAGTCACAGTCGATATGTATGGACTGCTTTGGAGATTGTGTCATAGCTAGGAGTCACAGCCAATATGTATGGATTTCTTTAGGTAATGTGCCTTGTCTAGGAGTTACAGTTTATGTGTTGACTCATTTGGAGAATATTTAATGTCTAGTAGTCACAGCTGATAGTATGGAATCTTTTGAAGAGTGTTTCAGGTTGAGGAGTCATAATTGATATATGTGAACTCCTTTGGGGAATATCCTTTTTTTAGGAGTCACAGTCTATATATGGACCCCTGTAGATAGTTTGCCGTGTCTAGGAGTCACAGTCAATATGAACGAATTCCTTTGGATAGGGTGTCGTGACTCGTGTGTGTGAGTCACAGCTGGCATGTATGAACCCCTTTAGAGACTGTGCCATGTCCAGTAGTGAAGAGACAAGCTGAGCACCTCTGGTTGCTGCCAGTCATATCGATGCAGCACTGATATCCCTCCAAGGTGTCGCTAGTTCTTGCTCCCTAGTTTCCAACCTTTAGAGCAGAGCGCTGGGGACGTCAGCATATATGGAAATGAATTGGATACAGGTAACCTCCCCCCCCCCCCCCGCAGAAAGCACTGTCCGGACATTAGCTTTTTATCCATAGATTACAAACACCCACATCACCAGCAGGTGCGTAGGCCAGAGCGTGCAGACACACACGCGCGCCCCCCCAGGCCCCTCAATCTGCCCCCACACCACAGATTTTTGGGAGGCATCCAGTGATTGTTATAATTGTTTGAGGGCTCGTGTGAATGGGATCTGGGGGCTGTCATGGTAATCTCCCGTCAATAGGCTGGGACAGCAGGCCACATGCTTGCTAAATGAGTTTCCCCCGTGAATGAGCTACACAGTCAGCACATTCAGCACGGAACCACGCCGCGTTCGGCCCTTTGTGCCACTTTGACACACCTGCTTCCATTCTTCCGTTTGTCTGCCCCCCATTTTCTTTCCTTTTCTGAAGCCCAGATCCACTTTTCAAAGGAAGTTTAAGGATATTATTCTCCTAACTAATTGATTTTGTTTTGAAAATAAAAGACTAGAGGGAGGAATTCTTTGAAAACTAGTTATTTCTCACTAAGCAATTTATTTTAAGACATTAAACCAAAGGTAGAGCATAGCAGGAATTATGGAGAAACTGTGGACCTTTGAAGTTTTTAAACTTAATTAGGTAAAAGGTTGCTGAGCTCAGATAGTGTAGTTCAATTATTGTTACTTTAAAAATAAGTACACGTTTGCAGTATAAGATATGTAGATTAGTAAATAGTAAATGATAATTGTGAATGTTTAATAGAAAGCTGCAGGTGTCATTCTTCAACAAGGTGAAAGATTAGGATGATTCAGAGAATGATTCGAACCTGCAGCTGGGTGACATGTACAGTCACATGGCCGATGAGTGAGATCGAAGCGTAATGCAGTTAGATGTCGACGACGCTAACGGTGACGATAGATGCAATGGCAGACCCAACACTGTCCTCAAACGTCACCTGGTTTTGTTCTACAACACAAACCCCTTAACATAGTCTTGATTTCCGCTGACCTTGGTGTCCTTGATGATGGGTGTGGCTGGTGGGGGGGCATGGGTGAATAATTTCCTGGCCTATTTGTTGAGGATTGTGGTAATGAGGTTGAATTAAGTTCTTTTGTTATAAGATAACCAGCTTAAACTGCAGGTGCCGCACTTTAGGGGCCAGTGAATATTTAGTGGGTGCTCATTATTAATAATAATAATGATAATCATACTCACGATAGCACTTGTAGATGGACTGCTACTTATATACTGCATCAGAACATGCTTGTCACAGACGTAATGCTCAGACGCTTTCTGTGATTTTCACTGTAGAAGGTTTCTGAGGCGCCCCCACATCAAAGCTCTATAAAGTTAGCAAAGTTTCCAAGATGACGGATCTCATTCACCATTGAAAAGCAGGCTTTAAAATAAAATTGAGTCGTCAAGCCCAGGAAAGTGACCTCTTAATGAACTGCTGCTGTCAGTTTTCACCTAATTTCTCACCTTTCCAGGAACCTGCAGAGAGAGGAGTTTTTAGTATGGAAGCAGAACCTGAACACGCTTGTTGAGCTGCGTCCACAGAAGGGGACCCGAAGACGTTAACAGGACCTGGGCCGGTTTTAGGACGCATTAACGCTGGGGAACCGCTGTTTACAATTTCACCATTTATGATTTTTTTTTTGGCGTGACATTGCTGTGTTGTCAAGGAAACTGGATTGATTCTCATTCTCAAAAATGGGTTTTGCATGATGGTGGAGAACTTTGGTCTTATCTGGAAGCTTCTGGGCATTTTCTGGCTGAAGATTTATGTGACCCAAAGCTGGCACCTCATCGAGCGAGCGTGCTGAGGACTTTGTGATGAGTTCATCCTCTGGACTGAGGATGTGATGTCAGGTTCTCGTCACATGCACAGAAAAGGACTGAATATTTGTGACAGTATCAATTATTAATAAAAACTACAGATAGGAACCAGACAGGTTAGACCAACTCCAAGCTCTACTTAATTTTTTTGTGTGAAATTGAATGACATCATAGTGAGTCTCCAGACAGTAACACAGGTGTTCAGCCACCACTGGTTATCCGACATACGGGTTATCAAGTTGGTCACAGGCTTGTGTCCTAGTTCTGAAGCAGGCGCTTAAGCTGTGACCTTCAGACAGAAGGATCCGGGAGGTTCTGACCAGTGGTCCTCAGCTGTTTCAGCCAAAAAAAACGGAGCAGTAGGTATCGGGGGGGGCAGGGGGTGGATTCAGCTGCCAGAACTGAGCCTGACCTACTGGGGTCCTGAATAATACAGGTGCATTAATGCTGAAATGGCGCATCATTAATGCATGTCGCAAATTGCATAAATGCAACGGGGGGGCGGAATAATTAATCACCTTACTTTTCAATGTGTGTTATTTTCAGAGCTTGGGAGGTCAGAAACTTGGACTTTTCTTTGGGTAAATTTGTCATGACAGGATGAAATAGCTTGTGAATAGGTGAATAATTTATAATATTATATGTAGCACCTTTCATAGATTAAAAAAAATATATGAAAATGTTTTGCAATGCAAACTTGAAGCTTTAAAAGAAATAAAGATTAATATATTATATGAAGCAATAAAGGTCACTTACACAGATAAAAGTAATGCGACCCTAGAAATACATGAATGCAGAATGAAAGGTCTTATGTTAAAGGTAAATTGCAAATTGCTTTTAACACTGGCCACAACTTGCCTGTTTGATGAAAAAAGATCCTGAGATCTGGAGTATAAAACAAAAAAAAAAGTGGCTCGATGTAATTTATTGTCGAACACAATGCATTAGCAGGTGTAAGACCGGCCGCATACAGACAGCGATGTGCGTGTGAGCTAAATGCATGTAAGAAGGCGGAGATGCATGAGTGCAGCAGCGTGGGTGCAGGTGGCAGGGAGTGAACTTTCAATGCGGCTCAATTTGTGCTCTTTTCTTCATCTCCCAGATTGATAGCTAGCTTAAGCTGTTAATTGGAAAGAATTGTCTGATTGAAATAGGTTCAAGCAAAAGCTTTACTGAAAGGACAAGTGTAATGCTTCTGTTCTTTCTATCCTGAAGGATAACTGAGCAATAGTGGCCATTATTTCAAATAATTAATCATTATTTACTTAATGGATCCTTAGTCCCTGAAGAGTTAGATAATCAAATTAGATCCATCCATCCAACTTCCAACGGCTTATCCGGGGTAATCAGAGTCGTGGTTGTGTGTGCAGGAGGATGGCTGGCGGCCTGGGGCGGCTGGTGGGGGGTATACTCTGGACAGGATACCAGTCAAAATACAGTTTTACGTCAAATGTTTCACAAGCTTATTTTTGTTTTGAACGGAGACCCTGAAGGGATGTGCGCAAAAAAGTAAAATGCGAGTGCAAGTGATAGTTTTGCATGTTTGTTTGAAATGATCAAATGTTTTCCCCGAAAAAAATTACCTGTAGTATTTTGTACTCTTTTCACCATTAGAGATATTGTTTCATAGACAAATTTTCCATTTACCACCAATTATTTGGTTTACCGCTCAATTTATTATGTTTGTTCTAGCATTATTTGAATGGCAGTGGATGGATAGATGGATGGATGGATATTATTTTAACTGAAAGCTTAATCAGCACCAATTAACTGGACCAAAATCCACTATTCACTGTGCAAGGGAGGGATGAGACCCCCAGCAGAGACATTTGGAAAATTGCAATATTTTGCTGGTGAAAAGGTGCACAATACAACACAAAACCACATTTGCAGAATGGTCTTTTATTCTCAGTCGACATCTTGTAATACATATGTTTAATAGTTATTGACTCATTTGACTGATAATTTGACATGGTTCTTAACATACAAAATATATACAAAATGAAAATTTAAAAATTCAAGTAATTAGCATCCTAGACAGACGTATTCAATAGTGATATTAAATTTAGAAATGTCACTGTAATCAGTTTGTAGAAACAGGGAAAGATTTAAGTGTCAGAGAAGGTGTCAAATAATTTAAGGTCTTATTAATTCAACATGTACAGTAAATCTTACAGTGTACCTGCACCTTGTCAGTCTTTACATTTAATGTTCAATAAACACGTAGAAGAATGGATCTTTAAATCACAGTGAAGTATGATAAAGTTAAAAATAAAGCTCTGCTTTAATCTCTCTGACATCGACCGTCTTCATGAAGACTTTACAGAAGGACCGCAAGGGGATCTGTTTCTGTGATCGGGATCATCGGCTGGTGTTCAGCGTCGCTTGTGTTCAGGCCAGTTGATCACATAGGTAACACAGGCGGCTGGGTGGGGGGGCCTTCTTCCCTGGGGGGCAGCTTACACTCACATTTATATTTACATATCAGGCATGCACTTTGTAGAAGTGATGTAGAAGAAAGGCAAAGCAAGACGCTTAGCAAGCTAACCGCCCCCCCCCCCAAAAAAAAAGCTTCACCGCCAGGAACTGGACCCCCTCCTATCCCAGCAAACACCACATAAGATACAGTGAAATTGGGCAGCGGCGAAGCATTTAAGCTTGCAGCACACAAAGTGTGAGAGAGGGCAGCACAAAGGCTTTGACTGGCATTGAATAGGTTTGTATACTCGGGTTGGGGCCTTGGCAGCCTGAACCGTCCAGATTACGTGTCCAGCTGTTGGACCATGGTGTGATGCTCACTGGCCTCAAGGCTCAGCTCAGCTGCGCTGGACGTCCTCCTCTCGCCGCCCGACAGGCCAAAGCCTTCACCAGACGCCACCGTCAGGCTGCTTGGGTGGTTCACCATGGTCAGGAATCTGAAACCACCAGGGGAGAGGTGGAGGGCGGAGGGTGCGCACCAACCAGGTGTTAATAAACCAAGCGGACAGACGTTATCCAAGTGCCTGGGATTTAATTAATGACACGCACATTTACAGACAGATTACTACAAAGAACTTCCCAGAGATAAAGGAATATGTGTAGTACAAATAGTACCACAGATGACAGTTTTAAACCAGTTCATTAAGAATGTTTGTCCTTTATAAAGCACTGGTACATGCTAAAGTGAAACTACTGTAAATAGGCAGAAGTTGTGGCCCCTGGAAGGTGAGATATAATATCTCGGGTACATGCAGGCAGAACACAGGGATGGGGGGAAACTGTAGCAGCAAGGGGACACTTAATCACACTGTAGTATATCCTTTGCCTTGGTGTTGTTTTAGGGGCTCAGTGGCGCCCTCACCTGTGAAAGTCTGGGTGGAGCAGTGAGTGTTGGAACAGTGAGGCCCAGGCATAGGCCCCCAAGCTGAGCCCCCCCAGTGAGGCAGGGCTCACGAGCGTAGGCTGCGCTGGCCTCAGGGTGGACCCACCAACTGGCCTCCAGCTGACATCCAGCAGGTGGCGCTGGCTCACCGGGATGTCCGGGCTGAGCCCGAGCGCGCCAGGCGCGGCAAGCCCCGCTACGGAGCTCAGTGCTCCAGCTTTCTCACGCTTCCGCCACTTGGCCCGACGGTTCTGGAACCAAACCTGCAAACAGTATCGGTTCAATGAGCGGCAAAGTAACACAGGGAGAAATACAGGAAAATGCAAATAAATGCGAGTAAAATTACAAATGTAATCACTGAAATATGCTAAATTAGTTTTACACAGAACTGCAGCTGAGAGCTACTGTTATGCCAAGATCACGTGTTTATGCACAGGCTGATATTTTAAAATAATAAAACATTGTACCTGAACTCTGGCCTCCGTTAGATCAAGACGGAGCGCTATTTCTTCTCTAAGGGGGGGAGGACAATATATCATTTGCTGGAACTGCGTTTCACAAAAGGTTCATTTCTTAATATATTAATATATCAAAGCATTATTTTAACAGGCCTATACTCGAATTCACATTAAAATGACTGCTGTAATAATATTTATTGCTCTCTTTATACTCGCCTGAAAACATTAATTTATTTGATTTACAATACAGTAATAATATAAAGCAGCCATCAGAGAAGGAGAGTGACGCATTAACAGCCTCCTACCTGGAAAATACGTCCGGATAATGAGATTTGCTGAAAGCCCGTTCAAGCTCCTGTAACTGCAGGTTTGTAAACGCGGTTCGGTAGCGACGCTGCTTGCGCTTCTGGGGAGTCCCGGCCGGGGGAGAGAGGTCCCCCCCCGGGGGTGTCGCACCCTCCTTTGCGGAACTCCACTTCTGGGGGGATTTGATGAAGGCACCAGCATCCGTATGGCGGCAGACCATGCTGGATGGACGCGCCGCTTTGTTGGAGGAACGGACCCCCGTCACTTTGTGAAAGCGGAAAGTGTCCGACACGGAATGAGTGTCATTGAACTTACTCAGGGTCACTGTGACAGGTCTAATACAGTTTAAGTGTGACTGGTTTTCCAATAATAACAAATTAATCGACAGACTTCACTCTTGCGTCAGCCAAATTTATTTAATAAGGTAATAGTAAATACTCAATACTACCAGTATTATTATAATGATTATTATAGTGATTGTTTTTTAAAAATATTACTACTACTACTACCACTATTATTATAATAATTATTATTACTATTGGCATAATTATATTATTATTATTATTATTAATAATAATAATAATAATAATAATAATAATAATAATAATAATAGTAATAGTAATTATTATTATTATTATAACAATAATAATAATAATAGCCCATGATTTTGGTGAATGCATGGTGAAGAACCCACCTTGTTCTTGGTCCGTCTCGGTTCCGTTTTCCCTCCCTTTGCCCAAAATACAGTCGATGAAATGGGACGATAGTGGCAACGCCTTTCCCTCATTCAGCTCTGGGGCCGCCTGGCTCTCTCTAGCGACCCTGTCCGTCTGCATGGCCCTTTACTCCCGCTCCGACCCGCTCACCCGCCCTGATGCGGACGCTTTATGCGTCCCTTTAATGGACCAAACTGTGTGAAAAACTGTTTCCCCCCAAGTAATTAAGAGACTATTGCTCGCCATTGGTCCGGCATTGGAGTGTTTTCGTTCTGATTAGCATTTGATTACACCAGCGGGTAAACGGATGAGCTGGGCTCTCACATTATCACCAAACACTTTATTACAGTTTTGAAGGTGCTCCGGTACTTTCTGAAGGACATTCCGTACTGTACACACGCACACGTCCTCGTCCCAGTGAGAAGACGTTCTGCGTGCACTCTATGCGATGGAAATATGTATAATCCGTCCATAAATCCATCCATCCATCAATCTTCCAACCGCTTATGCTGAGCAGGGTCGCGGGGAATATGTATACAATTAAATATTAATACTTCAGCCTATTCTTGCATTCTTTCGTGTATATTTTGCTTAAGTTTCCCTGGCATTTATAATATTTATAATTATACGTGTATAATATTTAGCATGCCATTTCTTGACCACTGAGAGCAAAATAAAACTAATCAAGAGATGTAAAGACTCAGAAGACACTACAAAGACCCTTAAATTAGTATGTTTCCAGCTCATAATATCAAAGTTTTCAGCAGATTCAGATGTGACCTTCGCTAATGAAATTCGAAAGAACTGAGAATAACTGCGGCGCATTACATCATCACAAGAGATGTAAAAGCCATGAGTTTAGAGTTTATTTAAAGTTTATTTAAAGTTTTCAGTGCTGAAGAAGCGCTGACTGAAATGACAGGGACTCACCCTTGTAAAATATTAATGTCGTCCTGGCGCCCCCTGGTTGTTGTAAGTGGAAGTCACATTAGAGTGCCGGGACATTGTCAGAGAGACAACTCCAAAGTTAGGGCAACGCATCCCAGATCAGTGCTTGCCCGCTTTCCTGCCCACCAGAGATTAGGTTCCACTTTTAAGTTGTCAGTCCCTGTGACATGCTGCCTCAAATACACCTTGGGGCAGAAATGTATCAATGCGACAAGCCTTCCTAGCTCCGATGTCTTACCATCGCATGACTGCGTTATTTAATTATTCCCGACATGCATTATTATCACATGACATTCTTACTATTTAGTGTGTTACCGTGTTCTTTAATTATTTCCAACATGCATTACGGTCATGTGGCTTTATCGTGGAAAAGCATTACTGCCCTTAAATTACCAACAAAATGTGTTTCATGATAAATGTATTACATTTCAAAAGGTGTTTAGATTAAATTAATATTTTGCAGCTTAGCACATGGGAAGCTGATTCACTTCATATCTGATGTTACCATGAATCAGTAGATTTCTGGCTAGATGAATGGAAACACTGCTGTGAGTTTGTCTGGTCTCCTTGACATTGCGGGGATTACCGCCCCAGAGCCATCAACCACCCCCACCCCCCCAGCCCCCCAGCCCAGGAAAGTGTCCCACGTGAAACAGGACAGCCTCACACTCGATCTTCCCCCGGCAACTGAGCAAGCCATCCCGAAGAGCCCGAGACGTTCCAGGCTGCTAGATGGATTTTGATCACGATTAACAAGCCTTTTAGAGCTGCTAATGCCCACACTTGTATGTTTGCTCATGGCCTGGGGGTTAATGGTGCAGAAGTTGTCCAGCCTAGCCCTAAATTGGCTGCCCCGGTCCCTCTCCGGCTGCCCCTTGCCCCTCCATGCTCTCAGTATGATGGTGGGTCTCGAGTCCTCCAGCTGACCTCTATCGATGAGATACTGCACCATAACCATTCTGAGAGAAGTGTAGGTCTGTACTTCGCCAACCAGTGACTCCACATGCTCAAGGTCTACAACCAGGAAAGAAGGGGTCTCCTCCCCAGGTGTCATAGCAATCAATATACTGGACATCTGACCCAAGTTATAGGCTTGAGTAATGGAAGGGGAATTTCGTTTTAACCCTTGAAAAGAGCCACACCCCCACAGCTTTGAGCCATGCTGAAGCGATGGGTTCAGATCCCACAGCCTTCAGAGTATTCATATCGTTGTCAGACCTTTGAACATGGCCCTTAGACACACTCAGAGCATCACTTACATTTACAGTAAGCAGGATCCTGCGACCCACTGGGATAACTAAACCTTCACTATGTAATTGTCTAGGTAGTTGTGTGTTCAAATCCCACAGTCAGCAAAGAAATCGTATCACTCTCAGACTCTTGAATATGGCCCTTAACCCCAACACTCAGTGCATCATTCACGTTTACAGCAAGTCGGATCATGTGAGCCGCCTAGGTGACTAAACCTTTGCTGTACTGATTACACAGCCATAAAAATACATAAAGTGGACTTAGATAAGCATAAACATGCTGCACATGTGTGCTTTTATTGTTTGATTAAAGGACTTTAGTTATAAGGTCCGGTTTGCCACAGGGAAACGGATGTATATCTTTCCATTACAAGTAATGTGAGCAGTAAGGCTGTGAAGTCGAAGGTGTGTGCAGTTTATTTTGTTGTTTTATTTTAATTGTTATCAGGTGATGTGGCAGCTTCAGTCTCCCAGGCTTGCTGGCTGAGGTTCTTCTCGGTTGTGTGCGGATTGCATGATCTCCCCAGGTCACGCAATTTTCCTCTGGGCCCTCCTGTTTCCTCCCCCAGTCTAAGTCATGCACATAGGTAAACTGGAGTCTATATTGCTAGAGAATCTGTGTGTTGTGGGGACATTTGGTCCTGGACTTGTATTTTGTTTGGTTACTTATGGTTAAGGTTAGGGCCGGGTTGGTGGTTAAGGGCGTCATTGTTGGGATTAGGGTTTTGCACGTAGAAATGAATGGAGACTTCCCACAAAGATATAATTACAAACCTGTGTGTGTGTGTGTGTGTGTGTATGTGTGTATGTGTGTGCGTGTTTTGCGCCCTGCAGTGGACTGGCATCCCATCCAGAGCGTACCCCAGCTTTGTATCCTGTGCTGCCTGGAATGGGCTGCTCCGGATAAATCGTTGGAAGATGGATGGAGCTGTCTGATCATGTGACTGGTTCTATGGAGATGAGTTTAAAGATCAGCTTCAAGTTAACACTGACCATGTTAGGACAATTTGTTAGCATTGTACAATGGTTTACCGTATCAAACAAATTCACATATCATATTTACATGTATGAATATCACAAAACATTATATACAGGTGACCTTCCCGATTTCACCATTAAGGCGGTGTTTCACAATCCATAATTGATTGATCGTAGTTGTACAATTCTGAAACAATGAAATATCTTGAATATAAATGATGGATTATATCGAATTATAAAGGCTTACAGTTATGATACTTTATAGAGATTTTTCACACATAGACGTAGTACATACAGAATTCGTCTGGCAAATTTTTGGACCCTTCCTGTCTCCTGCTCTGTTATATATATTCAGTGTATGGGGCAGTGGTGACTTAATGGTTAGGAAAGCGCACTTGTGATTGAAAGAGTGCTGGTTTAAATCCCTGACCAGCAAGCTACTGCTGAGGTATCCTAAGCAAGGTACTGTTCACAGGGTGCTGAAATAGCCGCCCCCTGCTTTATCACAATGTCACATACAGGTTGTGTGCTGTGGTGTGTCAACACTGATCACCAAATTGTCAGTCCCACATAGAAGCTCAACATAAGCTTATTTTGAAGCCCTCTAGTGGCCATTAGTATGAATTGATCTTAATGACTGATGCACAGTTTGATTCGAGATCCCGTTTTATGTTGAAATATCTATCAACAAATTTTCAAAGTACATTAATTTTGTTTGCAGTGCGGAACAGAGCATACTTTCAATATTAGTGGCATATTTACTGTTTCAACGTTGCTAACCTTAGATGCTGATCGCCGCTTTAGTTTAAACGACGACTACTGCTGGATTCGGGTTCAGTCCGTAGCGGTGACCAGGCGCTTGATGGCTGTTTGAGCTCCATCAAAGAAGTAAAAGGCAGGAATCCAAAGGTTTTCGGCATCTATTACACTCTTTCATGACTTGCGGCATTAATATCTTGCCATATTAGGCAATTAGCTCGTCTTCTCGATGGTGCTGGTTTAAGTCAGAGTGTCCAGGCGACTGATGAGCAGCCCGCAGTCCCGGCACCGTCCGGTCCGTAGTTACGGTAAGGGGTGGAACCGGGACCCGTAGGAAAACAGCGGTCTCATGTAAAAAACTGAAAGGCGACACTGTTTCCGGGGGAATTTATGTGACTTAATAACAACCTATTAAGGTCTTCTACCCTTTTTTGGGACCCACCCCAGGTCCTCCGAAATCTGACCGTAATAATGCATTTTACTGAACTTATTAAGGTTACTCAGTTCAAGGCCAATTTTCTTTTAAAAAACTAGGTCCATCGTATAAAATAAATCACAGCTACTTTAGCTACAGGTGTCCTCATCTACTTAGTACACCTTTAGAGTAGCAAAGGGTGCATCTGATCAGCCAGCCGGGCAGGGTTTCGCACCCGGTCCCCAGCCGCCACCAGACCAGGGGGTGGTATCAGCGGGAAGGAGGAGGGTCCCCTAGGGGAGACAGGAGCCATTTATTTCAATGCAGATGAAAGTGCCAGAAGTAGCTGTTGTGGATTATTTATGTCTGGTTAAGCTTTGCTACAGATAGAGTTCGGAATCATGACTGATAATTTCAGTTTTATTTATATAGTGCATTTTCAGAACATTACATTGCCTCTAAGTGCTTTGCATTATCCCCGCCCAAAGTCCACAGTGAGCAAGCTAGAGGTGACAGTGGATAAGGAAAAACTCCCTAGAAGGTAGAAACCTTTGGGAGGAACCAAACTCAAAGGGGGAGCCCAGCCTCCAGGGGCCGGCAGAGGAAGTCAAATGAGCAAGATGGCGGAGTCCCAATTCACACTGTCCCAATGTTAACGTTTGAGTCTCAAAGCGGAGGGCAGGCAGGTGCTGGAGCTGCTTCACATGGCAGGGCAAACAGTGGCACGGCAGCAGGGCATACAGGGAAGTCACCATGGGCACAAGGGCGGGCAGGGAAGTCACCATGGGCAGAAGGGCGGGCAGGGAAGTCACCATGGGCAGAAGGGCGGGCAGGCCGGAAGGACGTCACAGGTAGTGGAGATATCACAGGCAGCAGGGTAGGCAGGATATCTTGAAAATTTGGGGT